CTCTGCAGACTTCCTGTTGGTTTGTAGGCCCGGTGCCAGGGTTTAGGGGACTTCGTTGCCTCCTGTGTCTGGAATTAAATTCAGACCTCAGAGCTCCCCAGGTCTCGCACGTCTTCTTTTCTGCCAGGTGCCTCACGGTGTCGTTTGCCCCCTGGCTGCTGCGGAGGAGCTGGCGGCGGCTCTACTCAGGCAGGTCAGCCCCAGGCGAATGGCCACTCGCAACGTGGGCTCTGGAGGGCTTTGTCCAGGGGCGGCCCTGCTCTCACACTCACGCTCCACATGGACGCCTGCCCACATGTCCCCTCTTCTGCCTCTCAGTGATCACACACGTGCCAGGGGCTGCTAAGCTTGAAGCAGACCTTGAATCTGCCTGCTTTCAGAACGAGTGGTGCAGACTCTCACTTTCTAGTTTGTCAGATCTGAGTGATTTTATTGATATGGTTTTTATCTTAAAGAAACATCAACTGACGTGTACAAATATTTTAAAGATTTTATTTATTCAGTTTTTTCCCCCCAAAGCCCCAGTAGATAGTTGTATGTCATAGGTTCACATCCTTCTAGTTGCTGTACGTGGGACTCAGCCTCACGTTGGACGGAGAAGTGGTGCCTCGGGGCGCTCCCGGGATCCGAACCCAGGCCGCCAGTATCAGAGCACGCGCACTTAACCGCTAAGCCACGGAGCCGGCCCACAAATATTTTAATATCTTGTTCCTCAGTCATATTTTTTTCAAAAATAGGAAAGTTCCAAGCATCTTTATCAAAACTCTTTGACCACCTTCCTAACCCCATGGTCAGGTACAGTTGTTGGGTGAAGGCTGTTATGACTCCCAACCGATTCATCTGGAAATGCTGTGATGCCTTTGTCTAGACACATCCCTTATTCCTTCTTATTCAGAAAAAGGAGAAAACAAGGCAAAACCTGACGCCTTGGGAACAACGAAAGTTGATATTTTGTCTGCTTGCAGGCGGACAGTTACGCACACTCCTGAGGACACGGCCCAGCTCCCCGGGGACACCTGCACAGTCGCGACCTCTGCCTCTCTTCCTGCCTGCCCTATAGCCCCCAGAGATAGAGTCCAGCGTCTGCAGAGCCCCATAAGACTGTTGCTGATAGAGAAAGAGAATGTTCTTGAACATTCCTCAGCTGCACGTGCTGAGGCAGGCCTTGTGTGCTGAGTGGAGGTTGTAGAGCTGGTGGTGCGTGTGCTGAGTGAGAATGCAGAAGAAGGGTGTTTGCTGGACGTGGTTTGAGTGTTGATACCACTGTGGCTAAGGCCACACTAAGACTCTTGGCTGATACACAGAAATACATTAGAAAGAGGAAAAATATGAGCAGACTAGTGCAAATAAGAGCTGGTGGAAGCTTCTTATAGGAATTTTCTTCCATAACGTTAGGAAAATGGTCTGTGACAATATTGCTCATGTGGGTAAAATGGCTGCTAAAACAGCAAACACTTTTTGTTTCAGAAGCAGCCAAATAATCAATAATTTGATTTCTAATAGTTGTGTTTGCCATGAGGACTTTTGTGTGTGGGGGCGGGGGTGTGTGTGAGAGAGGAGATCAGCCCTGTGCTAACAGCTGTCAATCCTCCTCTTTTTTTGCTGAGGAAGACTGGCCCTGGGCTAACTTCCGTGCCCATCTTCCTGCCATGAGGACTTTTACAATGAGATAATATAAGCAAATTGATTTCTCTATTGACTTTAGGAGAAAATTATCAAATACCCCTGAATCTTCCCTGCAGAATCCTCAAAAATGCCTACAGTAAGCTTTGCAGAAAATTATTTTCTGCATTTCCTAATTTCCTGAAGTTCTTGCTGCAGCATTTGCTTATTGAAGTTGTGAATAAGGCAAGAACTGTAATTAAGATGCGAATGTGGTGTCACGGCATGGTAAACACAGTTGTGTGTAATTACTTACCACATTGCCCCTTTACCTGATTTTGTATTCGTGTTGAAAGCTCTTAACGGTGCATGTATAATTGATTCACTATGCTATATGTGGTTGTTTTAATAAAAAATGTCAGTTGAGGTTTTTGTTCAACACTGTAACTCCCATATTCCACTGTTTCTTTGGGAAAATCAGATTCAACTTATGTCTTGTCATTTCTGGAACTACATCCTGTTATAGGTGAACACTCTGCCTGTTGTAGCTACAATAATGGAAGATGAGTCAGAATTTCTATCTTCCTTCCCTTGTATTTCCTATGTCCTTGATTTTTCCCAGAAGCTAGCTTTCTATACAATAAATTTCCGTGGGCACCATTTGCTCCATTCGATGACTTGGATCCTCAGAGATTCCCAGATTTCTGTAGTTGTAATATCTTTTTTTTAAAAAAATGCAAACACACTACCACATCTCTCACCACTGCTCTCCTGTCTAAAAACCAGAATAAACTTGGGAGCAGTTTTAGTAACCTGTAAGAGCATTAAAGGCCTTCTGGGGTGTTTTGCAACTAAGACTGCAAGGCTTATCTTGTGACTGAAGAAGGGAAAATATCCAGCGGTTAGCCTCATAGTAATTTTAAATTGTTTTTTTTTTTTTTTGTGAGGAAGATCAGCCCTGAGCTAACATCCATGTCAATCCTCCTCTTTTTGCTGAGGAAGACCAGCTCTGGGCTAACATCTATTGCCAGTCCTCCTCCTGTTTTTTTTTTTGTTCCCCAAAGCCCCAGTAGATAGTTGTGTGTCATAGTTGCACATCCTTCTAGTTGCTGTATGTGGGATGCGGCCTCAGCATGGCCGGAGAAGCGGTGCGTCGGAGCGCGCCCGGGATCTGAATCCGGGCCACCAGTAGCGGAGCACGTGCACGTAACCGCTAAGCCACGGGGCTGGCCCCTCATAGTAATTTTGAGTAGCTAAATTATTTGTGTGCTAAACCTTCCTTCAAATGTCAAAATTTAGGTCTGGCAAAAATAGAGGCTGGGATGTTATACAAACCTTTCCAGATTTAGTAAACTTGCTATGGTCAGTGGAGAACTGTCTTCACAAGCAGTGAAGCAGAAAAAATGCCATGTATCCCAGGGTCAGTCAGCATGTTTCTGATGTCACCCATATGGTAAGAATGTCGTGTCTGTGATGACCAGGGCTGGCCGTGCGCGCAGTCTCCCAGGACCTGCGGACCAAGGGCTCAGCTTCAGCATCGGTCGTCGGTCACTTAGTCTTAGCACCTTAGCGTTTTCTTCTTGCCTTTTTGTGCCTTCTCAACCTACCTACGTAGTCACCTGTGAAAGAACACTTTTCTCTCTTAACCACTAACAGGTTTAACAGGTTATTTCATCTGCTAGCTTCCTCCTCTCTCCTACGTCCTCTTTGTGCCCCAGGAGCAGGTAAACACACTGCAGGTAATTATAGTCCATAATTTTCAACATAAAACTTTCTGTTGAGACTTCTGGAAGCATATCAAAGTAAAGGTGGAATGAAGGCATCAATAAAGAGTATTGTACTGAGCTTTTAAAAAATTAGATTTGCCCCATACCAGTGAGTGAGAGGCACATAGAGAATGGCCAAACACAGAGGTGTTTCTCAGATCTGCTTGAGTTACTCTGATCTAGGACGGGCTGGGGAGGAAGTCGGTAGATTCACATTGCTAGACGGTACCATACATCATACATTGAGATCATTGCATATAACACTGTTGGCGGACAGATCCTTCCAAAACAAAGGCTACAACACAAAGTTTCTTATTAATAGAGTCAGAGGACCCTTGTGTGTATCCTGTGTGCCGTGCTGGTTTAACACAGCCACACCAAGTGACCAGCACACATCTGTATGGGTGACTTAGCTCTTCCCAAAGATGACCACCACGACTTGGGCCAGATTGGTGGAAATTTTATCTCTAGATGTGTTTAACAAGGGAAAAAGAAGTTGGAGCAATTTTCTGTAAAACAGAAAATCAAAGAGAAGCAGATGATGTCAATAAGGAAAAAAAAATCTGGCAAAGGAATTTTATATTATTCCCTCAGTTATCTGTGTTTTTAAAAATTGCAAATCCTTTTCATCTTTTAGATGATGTGTGTCTAGAGTTAGTTCAAAAAACAGGCTTTTTACAAGTATCGTTAATAAATTTGAAATTAAGCAATAGTCTCCCTAAAAATTCTAGTACAAGGAAAGAATGTGAATAAATCCTTAGAGTTTGTGGTAAAGAAATGAATTGAAGGACACCCAAAAAATGATGGATTTATGAGCCAATGGAACACCAAAGCCACTGAATTTTTTTCTCCCTAAAGTAGAGCGAAGCTCTTAAGTATAAATATAAAAACCAACCACAGGACTTCCATGTGCTGTGAATGGGAGAGTGAACTGAAGTGGGGCACCTGAGGCTCCGTTGTGACATCTGGGTTAGCACAGGGTCCTGAGTTTGTGCCTGGATGGAAGGGTTCTAGCCTGGGGAGATGACAAATGTTACTATTTTAAGAGCATTTTGTGCATCATGAAGATTCCAGACGCTCTGCCGGGCCTGTAAAGACAGCTTGTTCTAAGTGGTTCTCCACCTCCTTTCTGGAGAGCCTGTTAATTCCTTCCATAAAGAAGACTCCTGGCTGTTGAGCTGTGGAGGCACAGGAACATTTCATGATTTTTCGGAGGGTAATAGTCTGAACAGCAAGGTTGTAAAAGGAACTGCTTCCCTCCCTTTCTACCTGATTTCTTGCTCCCTGTGCTCCAAAGACTAGGAGATCTCTTTCTGACCCCAGAGCTTGGGTTTGACTCAGAAAGCAGACTTTGCAGACGTCCTGCATGTCCTAATTTGTATGATGGGAGGAGGAAAGAGCCATCTGAGCACCAATTTGACATCGTTTTATTCCAGCAGTCATCAGCAGCCAACAGCCCTTCCCTCTCGACTGTCTAAAATGCCCTTGCTAGCCAGGTCCCTTTGCTAGACACAGTGTTTGCACATTTCCTTATTAATCAGCTGCGTAGGCTGAGAGACTGTGTGTTTTGGTGTTGTTTGTGTGTGCAATCTCGTGCTGCTTCCTGAACGCATGTGTCCCTTCCCTTCACAGCCTACTCGACACCCAGCACCTCCCCCGCAAACCGATTCGTCAGTGTTGGACCACGGGACCCAAGCTTTGTAAATATCCCTCAGCAGACACAGGTGGGCCGCTCTCCTCTTTTCTGTATGTGGTGCAGCTCGTTTGATTCTTCAGGTGCACGTAACTTGTCTGTGGGCACAGCAGGCTGCATGTCCCAGCCCATCGGTCCCCTCTCCTCCTGACCCCACCGTCCGCCCTTCAGCCACGTGTCCACGTGTTCTCAGAAAATGTTGCTGGATATTTTTCCTTCTTGTATTGAGGGAGTAGAAGAGGAGGGCTTCTGTGCTGGAACTGCTTTTGCTGTGGCAGGAGAGGTTTCTTGATGCTAGGTGATGTGTGCTCCCTCTTCTAGGAATTCCTGTCTCTCCAGAGCGGGCAGGTGGGAGGAGGCCCCACGGGAGGGGAAGTGAGCTTGGTTGCCTTTGACATCACTGTGCATGCTGGGAATGGGGGCCCAGCCACTCTGTAGTGGTCATAGGGTGCCCAGCAACCTGGCGAACTTTCTGAAAGAGAAGAAAGAAAGGGTTCATGAGCCCTCCTAAGTTGCTGGTGTTGGTGCAGAAGCAGGAGATGTTTGTTACTGGCTACGCTGGCCGCTGGGAGCAAGGTGCAGTGAGGTGGGAGGGGTGTCTGTGCATACGGTGTCGTATCTTGAGGGAGGTGACTGAGAAGAGTTTCCCAGGACACTTGAGCTTGTTTTCCTATAGGTCGTTGTGTTTGTGCTAGTGTAGGTCAAGAAGTCTCTCTGAAAAGTGTTGAAGTGGCTGCTGCTGGGAAACAGTGCAAGGTGTTTGGAGTCTAAGGTAGTGGATGTAGAGACATTTAGAGGTTTGTGAAATAGAATGAGGTTCAAGTTTTCGAAGAAACAGCCCTCTAATTTCCTAATTAGAACGTGACCACATTATAATTGACGTAAAGTTTTTTCTCCGTGAGGTTCTCAGCACGGTGTTTGAAACAATTCTCCGAGATGTTCTGTGCACGTGCCTGGGTGTGCGATCTCCAGATGCCTAGCTCCGAGCAGTTAGTCTTTGTCCATGAGGCTGTGGCTCGGGGCTTCTGCTGGGGTAGGTTTGCCTCCCTGGGTCCGCTTGTTCTCTCTCTGCAGGGTTCTAGTTGATTGCTGTGTCGACAGTGCCGGTTAAATTATGTTGCATCTGAAGCTTTCCTTCCACCGCAGCAGGGTCACAGAGAGTACAGCCTCAGAAGAGGCAGCCGGAGGAGAGGGAGCCCGGTGGGAGAGAGGGTTAGCTCTTGAACCCCCACTTCTGCTGCTTCTCCTGAAACTGGCATGTACATGGCGTCTGGGATTAACATCTCCCATTCAGGACCTCCGATAAAATTGTCCATGTTTACTGTTTACTTTCCCATACTTTCAAATACTGAACTGGTGAATTTGAAGTTGAATAACTACTTGAATGCATTAAAATAGAAGAGCATCGTTTCACTTTGTGCTTAGGCGCAGGGGTTCGGGTTCAGTGAGTGGGGAGAACGGGGGACAGTGGCTCTTGTGGTGATTGCTTTGCTCAAAGCACCGTGTGCTCAGGCTGCTTCAAGAGGAGCCTCAGAAATGCGGGTGGAAATGTGCGGCTTGTGTTTCACGTGGTACTTGCACGTAAGCTGTGATTCACAGCCCTGAAATTGTACCCTGTGTTCCGTTCAATTTGTTTGTCGATAATCAAAATGTGTTCTATTCCAGTATGGCTTCGTTCCACAAATGCCTTATTTAACCCAGAAACGGACTGTTCACGATGTTGACCACAAAAATTCAATTCTTAAAAATCCAGATTTTCCACGCATCTGGATGAGTGACGTCATGTAGACCCAATATTGGCATCTAGAACTGTATTTTTTTGGTTTCCCTTAAATATTTGGCATGGTAGGGACAACAGCTTAGATGTTTATCACAGTGACACCTGCCACATTGGCTTGAAGAACGCTATCCCCAATTGTCTTATGAGAAACTGTGCTAATGGAGTTATCATTTTTTCCAAAAAAATATATTCTGAGGTAAAAATTATGCACTCTAAATATTTTAATTTTGTGTATATTGACTTTTTTTAAAAAAAAGGAACTACTTTCTGAAACCATTTAAAGTGTTAAACATGTAGATATAGATAATAAAAATAATGATATACTTTAAAAAATAAGCTCCTTTTTGAGAGGACATTGGTTCAGAAGAGCAATTTTTTAATAGGAATTTTTTAAGATGTAATTTGAACATGGCCTGCAGATTAATTTCCTAGGCAAGTAGGCAAGCTTGCATTTTTCTATATTGATACTTTTGTTTAAAAGGCATGAAATTTGTATTAATTGAATACAGGAAAAGTTTTCTGGGAAAACAAAATTTTGCTTTCTACCTTTGAAGAAGTAAAAATTGAAGAGTCATCCACGCACATACTTGAGCTTTGTAAATGCCGAAGAGGTGTCCTGCACATAAATCCACAAACAAGTGCAAAATGAGATGGCCTCCCTTTCTTCCGAAGACCAGTTCCCAGTGGAAATCTCCTCCTGTGCCTGAAGTGTCGACCCACAGGAGGCAGACTGGATGTGGTCTCTGTTGTTTCTAGCAGACAGCACCTGAACTACTGCATGGACGGTTTAAGTTGGCAGCCTTCAGTTGATCATAAGACCTTTCTTGAAGAAAAGTTCTTTGACTGTGCATATCCTCTATTTATTGAGCATTTTCTATGTACTAAGTACCTTAGATTAGCCAACTAATCTTTGCAGCAACCCAATAGGGTAGATATGATCATCTCCACTTTATAGGTGTGGAAGCTGAGACCTGAAGAGACTGATTGTCCCAGAGCCACACAGTGATGAAGAGGGGAGCAAGAATCTGCACCCAGTTCTGTCTGACTCCAAGGCCTATGCTGTCTAACCACTGTGCTGTACTGCCTCATGAGCTGGTGCTGATGAGCACCTTTCCCTGCAGATACTCAAACAGAGACAGATGCTCAGCTCTCAGGAATACTACTGGCATGTTCTCTGCCTTTAAATCTGAGATTGTATTAAAATCTAATCATTAGTATATATCCAAAAGATTTGAAAGCAAGGTCTCAAAGAGAGATTTGTGCACTCGTGTTCTTAGCAGCATTGTTCACAACAGCCAATAGGTGGAATCAACCCAAGTGCCCATCGACAGATGAATGGATAAACAAAATGTAGTATATACATTATGTTGTGAAGGTATCATTTTAAAGTGGCATAATACATGTTATTCAGCCTTAGAAAGGAAGGAAATTCTGACACATGCAACATGGATGAACCTTGAAGACATTATGCTGAGTGAAATAAGCCAATCACAAAATGACCGATACTATGTGATTCTACTTACCTGAGGTGCCAAGCGCGGTTAGATTCATAGAGACAGAGAGTAGAATGGTGGTTGCCAAGGGTGGGGGAGGGCAGAATGGAGAGTTATTGTTCAATGGGAACAGAGTTTCAGCTTTGCAAGATGAAGAGAGTTCTGGAGATGGAGGGTGGTGACGGTTGCACAGCAGTATGAATGTGCTGAATGCCACCATACTGTCCACGTAAAAATAAAAATGGTAAATTTTATGTTATCTGTATTTCACAACAATTTAGAAAATGTAGTTATTAGGTAGACTCGAATGGCCCTTTCACCTCGTAAGAGTCTGAAATTCTGTGCAACAACCGGGAGATGTGGACCGTTGGTCGACAAGATCTCCTGTGGCCCTGTGCCGACCCTGACAGCACTGGTTCTCAGGCTGGCACACGGGGGGATCAGCACACGTTGGCTGAATCTGCATGATTCACAAGGAAGGTTAAAAATAATGACACTCTCTTATTAGAGTCACAATACATGTTAATTGTGGAAAATACAGATGGGAAAAATAATAAAAGTCACTTGTAGTCCTACTGTTAACATTTCTGTATGAATCCATCCAGACTGTTTCCATGCATACAAATATATTGCAAAAATGAGATCACATTATATACACTGTTTGATAACCTGCCGTTTCCTCCCCTTAACAGTATATTATGGCTTCTTTCCATGTAAATTGGAAAAATTGAATATTGGCTTTTATTGCGCCTATTCATCATCTGTAATGATTGGGAGGGAAAGATAACATGGATAATTGAAAGCCATTTTTCCTCCTCCTTCCCTTGCAGTCTGTTTTTTTCCTCTGGAGAATTCTTCCCTTCACAGAGACAGAATTGCCCTCTCTCTCTTCAGCCCTGCCTTGAGCGAGTTGTCTTTCCCGACTGCCCCCCAGTTGTATTGTGTGTCCCACCCCAGCCTTTCGCTCTGTTCAAACTCTCCTGCCAAGTTATCGGTCCCATCCTCTGCCTCACTTATCTGCTCCCTCTGCTCTGTCTTCATTTGCCTCTCATCTGCCTCCTCCCTTTTGTAACTCACTATTGATGTGGGGGGTGGCCGCCCCCTGCAGCCTCAGGATGCCGGTCTGTTCTGAGGAACCATGACTGCTCGGCCACCCGACTTGCGTATTCTTCCCTACTGTGCCCTGACAGTTGATATTAACATATAGAAAAGTCTCTGGGGCACACAGTATTTACTTCACTTTGGACACTATTAACGTCCCCTGCACGCCCAACTGAGTCGTATAATTTAATAGAGAACATGCCATCATCTCAAATAGCAGAAAGCCAGTGGCCATTTCAATTGCATCCCGTAATTTAATCTGATCCCTGAAAACGAGAGCTATTAAGAGGAGGCATTTATTTAGAGAAAAAAAGTTAATATTTCATCATCAGGTAATAAATGGAAATACCAATTCCCACACAGAAGGATTGAGCAAAGAACTCATTTGATTCAGGTTCTAGTTTAATCAGAACGTTCAAATAAAATGGTTAACCTGAAGAACTCCCATGAGGAGTTCTTCCCATGAGGACTAATTCTTTAAAATGAAAAATGAGTGCAAACTATATTAAAAACAGGCATTTCTTCCCTGCCACCCAAATATATCACTGTTCTGCATCAACAGAATTGTGGTATCAGAAAAGCTATTTAAAACCAAATTACCATTTGGGTTATTAGAAGAATCGCTTGGCATGGCCTGGGCCTGATTTGTTGACAAAA